CTTCAGCGCGGCCTGTCTTACGTAACCCCAAGCCCAGGGAGCCAATCAGTCGGCGCTCCGATGGAAATCAATGCAAACCCACTGCAACTCTAAATGAATGCTGTTTGTTGTGAATTAAATGTTAAAGATGAGATCCATTCGGCAAAAGGAAGGAGGGAGTCTGGCTTTCAAGAAACAAAAAAATCCAGATGAAAGTATTTCAAGTTAGACAGCTCTCTCTGTCGATGCAGTCATTATTATGCTTACTGTGTTCTGCCTGGGTTCCAGTTCCTGGTGCTAAACTCGCATAGAAACTGCTGAACATTCCCGAGTTGGCTGTTTTCATTTCAGCGTTTAATATCGCGATGTTGCTTCACGCGCTTTAGCTGAAATCCGTTGTTTGTGTTATTAAAGTCATAACTTCAAAGACAGAGGCATTTCATTTAAAGCGAGAAAAAAATCTCAAAGAGTGATTGGAAGTCATCAGCAAAGTGAATATGTCTTAAATATGTCTTATTTCTGATTAGGATCAAAAGTAAAATCAATTAAAGAAAAACTTAAATACAATTACAAGAAATGATGCCTAAAAATGCATAAAAATACTTGATTTCAAAGAAATATTTTTCTTTGACATCTGTTTAATAATCCCTGACTTATATAGGAAAATATCTTAAGATTCATTCTCTCATTTACAAGAGATGTTGCAAATAAAAAAAATAACAATACAATTTACTGAATATAATTTATTAACTTCTAATAATCAATACCATACATTATCAGCTGAGTTGATACAAGATGATTAGAAGTGCAAGGGTGGGAAATAAGGATAGTGCAAGGAGGACGTGGTGATATGATAGGAAATATTGTGTGACAAATAAAAAAATGCTGTATAAAGATGAATATTTTGTGTCAGAATGAGAACGGCTTTATTGGCCAGAAAAACAATAAATGTAACTTTGGATTTCCGTTGGAGCAAAAAATAAATAAAAACATGTTCGTATATGTGTATGTCATGTACACACTTTATGCCTGTTTTAAAGGTAGGTTGTGGTCAGTATAACAAGAATTCGCCGACCTAAAAGTAAATCCAAAACAGTTTGCGTCCAGGTTGTGTGGGATCTGCAGAGATGTTAGCTACCATTTTCTTGACCTTTGACCTGTACAAGTCCTGGATGGAACTCAGACCTTTCCGGTTGTTTTCTGCTGGGGTCAAACCACACAGTGATGGATAAACAGAGGAGACCGTTTCTAATTTAATCTCAGAAAACTTTAGTCACCTACTGGAAGTGTTTTTCACATTCTTGATGAAGAGATTTTAAAAAGCGATTTCATTACCTTCTGTTAGCTTATACACAGACTTCCAGCAACGAAAGCCTAAATCAGGCCAAATTATTAAAACCTTTGCCTAATAATTATTAGGTTATGTTTGCACAGATTGTGAATGTTATGCTGATGAAATAATTACTGTGTGTGAATAAGCACAACCTTGATCAAGGAAAGCCAAGGTGGACGGTGTTGAGTGCAGCAGTTGCTTATTTCTATCTCTGAAGGCAGCTAATGACTGCAGCAGCTCTGGTCAGAGACCTGGATCTATTGGTGTGATTATAGCCCTTCATCTCTGCCATGATGAAACCCTCTCTCCCCCTTACACACACATGCATGGACACACAAATAAAGGCTCGCTGTCAGCCATGATGCACAACCATCTTCTCCTGAGAGCATTCAGTTACCAGATCAGCTAGAGGAGGGGAAATAGAGAGTTGATGAAAAGGAAGAAGGATGGACAGTTCCAGCGTTTAATCTACGAAGAAGGATTTGTAGTTTTTGTCACTGTTTTGTTGCAGTTGACAAAATACCTAATAATATGTCTGGTGGGGGTGTGTTATATTGGCGTAGGGGATGGCGCGACCTTTGAAGGCCTTCAGTCCTCGACATGGCTGTTGCGGGTTCGATTGCCGGACCCAACAATATTTGCTGCATTTCTTACCCCCTTTTCTTGCCCTTTTTCTGTCAGCCTACTTTCATATGAGGGACATTTTCAATAAGTAAATAAATAATAATATGTCTGGAGCCCAACTGTGATGGTGAGATAACAAACGTTACTCACCACAACTAAGAAAAAAGGTTGACAAAAAAACCAAAAAAACAAAGACAATGTGAATGAAAATATGTAAGTTTATGTAATATTATACAGGACAAGGTTTCCCTCATAAAACTTGATAGGGAAGTCATTCGGCAACCTACCATCTCTCTGAGGTAAAAAATAGTTAATTAAAGTTGAAAGAAAATTTGAAAATATCACTAGGTAATTACATGTTATAGGAAGACATTTTTAACAATACATAAACACCAACAATAATCTTAAAAAAGGCAAACATAAAAAAAATACAATTAAAATAAATATCAAGAATTTTTTAAAATTCAGTTTGTTTATTCTAACTAAAGTGTCAACATTTTTTAATGCCTTATCCATGACTTGTCACTTTATTTGTTGAAGTGTGTAGACCATATGTGTGTGTCACTTCGCTCTTGCTTCGGTGTGTATGTAGGCTTGTGTGGGAGTTCCTGTCCTATTGCCATGCTCTCCTTACAAAAACACTTATGCAACCATTCAGCCTGGTGGCTGATCTCCTTTTTACAGTCTGCACATAAGTGTGTATGTGTGTACGCGTACACGTGTGTGTGTGTGTGTATGTGTGTGCATGTGTGTGTGTGTGTGTGTGTGTGTGTGTGTGTGTGTGTGTGTGTGTGCACTTCATCCCTTTCCTGTCATTCCCAGACAAGGCTTCTCGTGGAAACCGACTGTCCTCTTTGAAGAGCAACAGAGAGGATTAGCAGTTAATTCTGATCCCCCTCTTTTCCAGAAACTTCATTAGTTTGACTTCAATAAGCTCTAATCTGATCTGTCGCCATGACGACACCTAACAGATGCTGAAGGCGGCAGGGTTTGCCCTTGGTGATGTTTTTGTCTGTGTTCAATGCATTTTTTGTGCCTGTGTCGTTGTCAGAAGCTTGGTTTTAAAACATACCGGAGATAGAGGCAAAAAAAAAAATAACGATGCAATAAAAGTGTTTTTAAATGATCTTTGTATTTTTATGGCAATTTTTATAGTACCTTGAAAAAGTATGACCCTATGAACTTTTCCACGTTTTATTGAGATTTTTTTGTGATATACTGAGACAAAGCAGAACAAAATTATAAATAGGAAGTAAAACATCAGGTTATTTTTACACAGAAATTTGAAGATGTAATTTGCATCAACCCGTCTCAAGTCAATACTAGAACGACATTTATACTATAGTTTACAGCTGCAAGTTTCTTGAGACTTGAATATGTCTTTGCTCAATGACTCAACAAGAAGAATGTTGGTGTTACAGAGCAGCATAGGGAAGTAATAATGGATACTGCCATTTATGGATTGATATCCAAGTTATTCAGCAATGAGAACCAACAATATTGTCACAAGATGAAGGAAGCTAATGAAAAAAAAGCACAATTACTAGCGAGTGGGGCATTGACTGAAAGATCTATAAAAATGTTTGGTTGTGGAGTCGGATTGAAGAGTGATAGAATTGTGATGTGATGCACTTCACTGATACAGACTTCTTTCATAAGTTCACAATTGTAATTTTCAGACATTATTTATGTTCCAATTTGTGTAGTTTCTTCTAGTGCAGATTTACTCTCACGTCAAGGCAAAAGTTGGATAAAATACGTATCATGGCTGCTCAGACTTCAGACATTTTGAAAACGATCGGTAATTTATATCATTTAGTTCCACTGTTTGTGCCACTTTATGGAAGTGGCACAAATTGGATTTTGGGAGGGAATTGAAAGATCTGAATTAGTCAGTTCATGCTGCAGTGAAAAAGTCAGATAAAGGTCGCATTTGGAAAAGAAAACCGGATTTAGATCAAATTTAGGAATAAATAAAACTCAATTTAGGTTCCACTCAGGTAAAAAAAAAGTAAAATTGGACTGAGATAACTTTTGCATGCTACATGAAGGTGACCTTAGACTTTTTTTGTCTACTTGAGTTGTGATTCTGCAGCTCCTCCAGAGTTACCTTTAATTCCTGGCTGCTTGCTCTCACCTGAAACACTCCATCTTGTTTTTTTTTGTTTGTTTGTTTTTTTGCTTTTTTTTGCTGCAGCAAGAAATCTAGTCAAAGTTCATTTGAGTAAATGCATGCCACACTTTTCAGACATGTATTTTCAGAACCATTTTAAAATGCTTTCTCAAGATAATGGCATCTTTGCTAAATAATGATTTTGTAAACATTGAAGCTTTTTAAAAAAAGATTTTTTATTATCGAGCGTAAAGCATAAACCAAAGAGGAACACTAAAATCCCTTCAGACCTTTTTGATCAAGAGCACTTCAACAGAACACACAGGCTGACATAGAGACTGTCCTCCACCAGGTGGAGCCATACGTTTGACTAATGGCAGCTAAAACACAGCTCACCTGGATAAACTGTGTATCTTTTATACCAGGACAAGTTATTTCATGTGGCAAAGAATCATAAAACATAAAAGTAGTTATTGCAAGAATCTCCCAGAGGGCAGAAGTTTTTAAATGAACTTGAGTTTTTCTTGGAGCAGATGGGAGATTTTCTCAGATGAATTCCATCTGCAGACACCAAGAGCGTTTGGTTTATTGCTGCTTGGGCTAAAACAGCAAATGAAACCAGGATTAGATATTCTCACTCCTCTGCACCATGGAGTGGGCTTCCCAGCTTCTTCAGTTTTTTTTTTAAAGAAGAGTAGTTCTATGTTGGAAAACATGATGAATGCTTTAGCTCTGCAGGCGTGCGTATGTGTGTGTGTATATTTGTTGCACATGCCTCATAGGCTATAACTGGAAACCTCTCCACCTCATAAATAACCTGAAGTGTTGACCCAAAACCTCCCACAGCGTCTAGTCGTGTATTTTAGTGAAAAGGACAGCCATGCAGGCATATTTTTGTTGGTGTTTTTGTTCAGTTGTTTACACACACACACATCATCTGTCTCTCCTCAGGGTGTCGGGGGGAGAGCTGTTTGACCGAATCGTGGAAAAAGGATTTTACACAGAGAAGGATGCGAGCACGCTGATCCGACAAGTCCTGGATGCCGTGAACTACCTCCACAAGATGGGGATCGTGCACCGGGACCTGAAGGTTAGACTGGCATACACACGCATACATGCGCACACACAGTTATGTGCATTCACCTATTACATTTAAAATTTATTGGATTAATCTATTCTCACTTGATATTAGAAATTAAAGGTCAACAGAAAAGTGCAGATTAAAACACTGCAGTTTGAAGAAAAAGCTATTTTTGTATATGTTGTAAAGTTGCAACTTGCCAATTTTGATTAAAAAAAAAATATGTCAAATCAACAGTAATCTACAGTTCTGTGTACCTATTAAATAATATTAAACTTTTTTGTAATATTTTCACACTTCAAACTTCAGTGTATTACATTGGAATTTTGTGCAATGAAAAGTGTTTTGCATGTCATTTCCATTAATCCACCTTATTGTATTACATAATTAGCAATAAATCTGACCTTTGTGGAAGTGTTGCGAGGGGAAACCCTTTCTTAAAAGAAAGCAGTAAGAAGGTATGATTGATGTTTGCTATGTGAAGGACAGAGGCTGCCAAAATTTATCTTCTCACTTTTTCATATTCTGTATTTATTGATTTAGGTTTTTTTTAAATTACTGTGACTTTTTTTTTTTTATTATACTTTGATCTATTTTCTCAGGCAATGCAAAGCAGAAATATTCCAGGAGAAAAAAAAAATCAATGTGTGATAAAAAAAATTGCCAGTAAATAAAAAAGTACCAAATAAATACAGAATATGGGAAAGCAAGAAATAATAAAATAAAATGTGACAGCAAATGGTGCTTTGGTCAGATAAGATAAAAAATGAACAAAGCTGGTCAACTCTTTATGCCAGGAGTTTTGCATAGAAAAAGGAACTTCATTCAAAATACATACCCAACTTCAGATTTGTGTTTGTAATAAAATATTTCTTGTTCTTCTACTTGTACAAAGTACAAAAATATCAAGCCTTCACTGAACACCCGTGTTAGATGAAACGACACACTGCGTTTACTGATTAGGTGTCTTCTAAGGACTGATGCTTGTATTGAATTTTATTTATTTGTAGCAGAAATTTTAGATTTTTATTTGTAAATAGTCTTGAAACGCATGTTTGTTTTAACACACCAGAAAAAACACAAAATTTTATTTATATACTAAATACTACCGAATATGAGGTTTATATAGAAGCCCATGTCTGATATGAAATGAAAAAATAAACGCCCAACAGGAAGTCATCATTTCCACTAAAATATAGTAGAACAGACACTACCATCTGTTCTTTTAAAGTCATAATTATGAGACAGTCATAATTTTTACTTTCTAAATCATAATTATGAGATTGTGGAGCAAACATTGGAGAAACAGCACAGCTTTCTATATCATAGTTATGAGTTTGGAAGTCATCATTACAAGTATTGCAACCTGTAAGGATGACTTTCTGTTGGGCTTTTTTTTTTTTCTGTCATGTCCAAAATCGGCTACTGTAGGGTTTGACAAAATGTGAACATTTCCAGGGTGTGAAAATGCTTTTGCAAGACAAAGAGCCTTTGTTTTCTACACTGATGTAAAAATTCATCTGTTAGAAAGCAGTGGATGTGAAAAAGCTTTTCTTTTTTTTCTTCTTCCTGCAGCCAGAGAACTTGTTGTATTTTAATCCACAAGACGAATCTAAGATCATGATAAGTGACTTTGGTCTGTCAAAGATGGAGGGCAGTGGCGACGTCATGTCCACAGCCTGTGGGACGCCAGGATACGTGGGTAAGCCAGTCGGACGTCCCACATTTTTACCACTTAAATTTTTTCCCCATCATTTCCTAATTAATCAATATTCCTGGATAAATATTCCTGTTTGAACGCTCAAAGAGAAGACGGGCTCATGTCAGCCAGTGGTAAATAGCTTGTAATTGTATAGCACCAGACAACTTAAACCACTTTACATTACATTCAGTGATTTAACATCCACACAGTATCACATCTGCACTTTATTAATATCATCTTTTTATGATGTCCAGGGAATTTTTTTAGTTGCCGGTCTAGATGCAAATACTAGCATTCTTGCTAACAAGACAGCTGTAATGACTTCATCACTATGACTGTATGGTGACTCCACGCTTCAACCAGGACGTCGACTTACTCTTTATAAACTGCCACGCCAGCCTACAGGAAGTCTGGTTCTCTATTGTTCACTGCTTTGTGCACCAGAATAACTCACCAAGATCCAGCACTGACACATTCCACAGGTTTTTTGTTCTGTTCTTTTTTCTTTCTGCGAAAAGGTGGCTTCAAATATCTTCATTTTGCCGTCCGTTCTTGTCCGTTTGTGTGCACGCATCGCAGAAGAAGTGTTTCAGTGTTTGGGACCATTGTCATTTAACCACCCAAACTTATCACCTGGTGATGTCAATGTGTCCAGATGTAGCAAAACAGAAACTGACCTTAACCCTGATACATTGAGCCCCATGTTCTCTGAAGAAGCTCTTGGAATGGGAGAAGAAACATTTTCAGGAAACAAAGTGATAAGTCCAGTTGCTTTCTGTTTACGGGTTCGCCGAATCCGTCCGGATTCATGAAAAAAATAACAGCTATCTGTTTCACATGAAGACATTGTAAAAACTAGCAAAAACAATGTGTGGCAAAAATCCAGCCGTGTTGTCATACCACTGAAACTGGTCAAATTACTGGAACCCAGCACGGCTTCACTGGGATTGTGCTAGAAAAACACTTTGTTGACACATTTTCTTTGTTATTCTAATAATTCACACGCATACACACTGTCTGAAACATCACTTTTGTTGGGCCAGTTTCACTCCAGACGCATGGTGTCTATTTATAAATGAAGTTGTAAATAACCAGAGGAGGCACCAAATGAAAACCAGATCTGAATGATGAGCACTCCAACTTTCCACTTCTTTCTTTTACCATATTTGCACAAAACTTTCATTCACAATTCTCTCCGGTCGGCCTGTCGCCGTCTCCAGTGGAAGCAAAATGCAGCGGCTGTAAAATAGCTGAAAGTGTTGCTGCAAAAGCAATAAAAACTCCATATTGTGTTTTGATTATTATCACTGATTTATTTATGCCAATAACAGCTCACGAACATTGCATGTACCCCTTAGCTTCTTGCAAGTTTATCGTCTTTTGAGCTCAGTTTGATTTGCAAGCTCAATCATGTTAGACAAATAGTGCCAGTGAACATCACCTTATAAGTCCAGCTCAAAATTCTCGTTTGGATTTATGGCTGGACTTTGATTGTACCATTCTAACAGATCCATGTTCTTTAGAATTAAGCAACCGTCATAGCTTTTTCTTCCAGTTGTCTGGCTGGAAAGTGAAATTGCATCAATATATCTGATGCTGAACAAGGCTGAGTGATGTGGACTTATAATTTGATCGCGATATTTTGTGGTCCTTTTGTGAATATAAAAACAATAATTTAGTACTTCTTTTTTAGGTAACTGTATGTCAGTGACTGCATGGCACAACACAAACAATGCCTTAAAAAACATTCCCATTTCAATCAGGCTTCTTCAAGACACCACTGCTTTAAACCACTTTTTTTTAATTCACGGAAAATTATCGATGCTGTCATGGAGACGATAGTGAACATGTCTCTGAAAATGCTGACGATGAAACATTGAGAAAACTATAAGCCAAAGTTCTTATTACGATGAGAAACTTCACAGTAAGCGATACGATAAATGCCCACCCCTGTGCTGAAGACGGTTTTAACAGAGATTCCACCAGGAATCGTGACCTCAGCGTGCAAAAATCTTCTTAAATCCAAATCCGGGAAAAACAGAAACACACTGGCCTTCACATCGCAGTGAGTCAGAACGGGCCAGTAAACACAGCAGTGCACACGTTTCTCAGCGTGTGTCGGGTCTCCCTCCATGTGGGGCTGCAGGGAGATTCAGGCTCACATCTGAACCTGACAGAGAAACTCAATTTTCTCTGTCAGGTAGAATCCTGAAGACATGAGAACCTGGAGCTCCAGCAGCAGCTTTCCCACCATAAAACCAGCTGCCATGTGATTTCCATTTGGACAGACATGATGTGTCTGCATGTTTTCCATCTTGTCAAACCCATTTAACTGGCTTCTTGCCTTTGTCTTTCTCAGCTCCAGAGGTTCTTGCTCAGAAGCCGTACAGCAAGGCGGTGGACTGCTGGTCCATCGGAGTGATCGCCTACATCCTGTGAGTACCAGCCGTCCTCACAATGTCAGCATTCCTGAAAACATCACAGCAGCCTGACACAGACTCAGTAGATGAGTCGGTTATTCATTGACAGAAATCTCTGTCTGAATTTGATCCAGATAAATGATTACATTTTGATTCAGGAGGCTCTCTGGGCCTCCTGTTTTCCTACTAAATTAAACTTAATTTGAGGTTTCAAGAGAAGTACCAATCCACTCTTTTCATTTCCGACACTGATTGGTATCGGGTCAGCCGATACCGATCCGATTCAGAAAAACAGATGAATTTACTTCCATTTTTTCTTAAACACAGACATAAAAGTACTGAATTACACACTTATTTAATAACTAATTGCATCAGTACAGCATATTTTACCAACAGCTTCACAAGTTCGGCCAAATATGCACAACGCAACTTTAATTTACTTAGTTAGTCTAATTATGAGTATAACTGCCAATGAAAAATAAATGTTAAATAAACTGAAATTGACAAAAAACTATAACTTTGTCAAACATGCAAACATGTCAAACTGCAACAAACCTTCTTTCAAATGGTTCAGAAAGCAAGTTACAGTGATGATCAGCCCCCTTTATGGCTGCTGCTCTGCTTGCTTTTGAAATCATTGAACTAACAATGTGTGGAAGTGTGTAATAAAAAATGTATAAAACTATAAAAGCTTCTAAGGTTACTCTGTTCGTTTATTGTACCCGGCTCTCGCTTCGCTGGCTTTTGGGAGTTTGTACGATGACATCACAGGCTTTGAAGCTCAGAGGACTAATTACCCCAAGCAGTTGCACAATCGCAAGCAAGCATATATTTGGCAGCCAAACATGATCTTATCAGACCAGAGAAGATGAGCTTTGTTTGGAACATTTTTGACACTTTCCAAATATGAGCCAAGAAATGAAATAAAAAATTCAAAACAGCATTATTATTTGAACTAGCTCACTTTATAGATTTTTCTCTGATCAGTAATGCAAGTACAATCATTTAATACTGTTGCTGATTGCTAAACAGGTCAAGACAGAAAACGATTGTTTATTCACAATGAAACTTCAACATTTGCCTATTCAAAAAGCAAGCTGACGTTTAAGGAATATTAGCATTTTGTAAATAGTTTATTCATGTGAAAACATAAGAGTTGAGATCCTAACATAGAACTCAGATTATGAGATTCTGAAAGGCTAACGCTAAACAAGTAACTTTTACTTGTTGAGTTTTACTTTTTGAAGATGAATTAGCGCTTTTGCTTTTTTTGTTTTTATTTCTTTTTCGTAAAACAAAATCATGACTGACATTATGAAATGCCTGAAAAAAAAAGCATGTGGTCAATTCAGGTAAACTAATTTCTGTTATTGCCAGTACATAGCAAATTTCAATCAATCAAGTTTATTTTAGCAGCACATTTCAGCACTAGCAGAATATCAAAAAAGCTTTGTGCAAATGGTAATGGTGACAGAAACGCAGCTGGTTACTTTCTCTCTCTCTGCTCATTCTCACATATTCCTCTCCATGTCATGTGGGTTATCCACAGAGTGAGATATTAAGGGTCAGAGGTCAGCATCATGATAACAGGAGTCAGAGGTGGGAGAGAGAGTTGGCAGGACAGTGATTGACGTGTTCCTTGTCCTGACCGCTCAATCAATCATCTTTTTTTTCTTTTTTCTTTTTCTAAACCCCTGGCAGCACTGTGTGTGTGTGTGTGTGTGTGTGTGTGTGTGTGTGTTTTGTGTGTGTGTGTGTGTGTGTGTGAAAGAGCGCAGAGAACAAGCAGCTCCTTGCTGATAATTAGCGCTGGGATTCAGTCCCTGTTAGCTTTTAGCTGCTGCTCAGGTGGAAAGATCACATCAAGTAATCATGCATGATAATCAGCCGAGAGCCGAAGTGCGCGGTCATGGACGAGTGTTCAGGAGACACACACACCAGGACTCGCCTTCGTCCCGGTGTGTGTGTTCATGTTAGCATGCGTGCTAGACGGAGTGGAGAGTCAGCAGAGTGACAGGTATGAAAGCAGGGAAACGGACAGAACGTTTTCCTGTCCTCGCGGCAGGTACAATCCTAGTCCCTTTCTTCCTGTTTTCCGATGTGAATCGATGGAGAATGGTATTTTAATGAGTTTTATGAAAGTCTCTCGGTGCGTCCAGCTCTGTGGTAATGAGGAACAGATGATGTTTTCTTTGTGTAGAGCAGCAGCTCCCGACATTGTTCTTAGTTGGCTCATGCTGAACAATCAGACTGGAACATCTTAATAAATAGTTTTTACCCAGACTGGAAACCAGTAATCTGTTATTAATGGGATTAAGGGGATTCATTCTGCTGCGTAAAAGTAACTGTATACAGAGCCTCACAAAAAGTATTTATATGTCGGGAACTTGGCCACTTTTTGTCTTGTTACAACCACGCACATTCACATTATCAATAAAACAGTTAAACATGCATCCCATAGCTTCTTTTTTGGATAAATGGCTCTTGTTTCCTGCAGGCTGTGTGGTTATCCTCCGTTTTATGACGAAAACGACTCAAAGCTGTTTGAGCAGATCCTTAAGGCCGACTACGAGTTCGACGCCCCGTATTGGGATGACATCTCAGACTCTGGTGAGCCTCAGTCGTTTTCTTCCTTCCTTCGTCGAGCGTTCAGCCGTTTCTTTGCTGCCGTGAGCCTCACATGCACTTCATCACAGTGCCTGATCTAATGCCACAGGAGTGATCATGTTTATGCGCATTGGTGACTTGGGTCATATGTTGCCGCCATGGTTACATGTGAATAAGCCAATTTACTGTGCTATTAATGCCTATTTTTGATTTTTGTTTTTTCAGCCAAGGACTTCATCAGCTGTCTGATGGAGAAAGATCCGGCCAAGAGGTTCACCTGTGAACAGGCCCTCAGACATCCCTGGTGAGGGAAACACACACTGTGGCAGCACCGGCAGGCTGATTACAGGCGGCAAATTGTATGTTTCTTTAAAAATATAAATGTATGTTTCAGGATTGCTGGGGACACAGCACTCTGCAAGAACATCCATGAGTCAGTCAGCCGGCAGATCAGGAAGAACTTTGCCAAGAGCAAATGGAGGGTAACTTTTCCCCATTGCTGTCCATTATCTCTGTTATTCAGTCTCCATTCTGCAGTTTTACTAGGTCGATTTGTGTCAGTTAGAAAGCTGCTCTATAGTACTTTCACCGACTGAAAGTAAGAATATTACAATTTCTGCACTTTTCCCATCTTCCCTCTTTCATCTTCCTCCCCAGCAAGCGTTCAACGCCACCGCCGTGGTGCGCCATATGAGGCGGCTACAACTTGGCAGCAGTATGGACGCCTCCAAGCCCAGGCCGAGCCAGACGCAGAGGCTGGCCCAAAGCCAGAGCCAAGCGGGCCAGAACCAAACCGCTCAGAGCCAAAACAGCGGCCAGGCGGCGCCGAGCCTGGCCGCCAACAGCAACGCCAGCAAGAACTCCTCCATAGATAACAACGTAGCCGCTCCACGCAAAGAATGTGAGTCAGGAATGCCAGGGGGACAGAAATGTTTGAGAGCGTGTATGTGACTGGTGCAAAAGAAATTTCAACTAAAAGTGATGCAAACAGACTGTAAGGGGTTGATTTTAACATCCACCCTTGGTTTTTCCATAACATTTACGAGGGAAAATAATAGAAAAGTAGTAGTGATGAAACTATCAGCAAATCAGTATGGAAACTCATTAGCAATGGCCTTCAATAAGCAACCGCTTTTCAATCTTGGAGGAATTATATGGGACTTTTAAAACAATCTACAGTGGACCACAAATAACTCAAATCTGAGAATAATAGCTGCTCGCTCTCAAATCGTGTATTTTAATAGTTCAAACACCAAATAAACCATAATATGCATCGATACGCACAGTGTAAACTGTCTTAACACAACCATGGAAACTGGTCTTCCTTATCTCCATTATTGGTTATACAGCCAATCAGTGCCAATTTAAAATAAATGCAGCTCCTGAATTGGCTGCTTTGTAAATGCCAGTCAAGCGTATGAAGCAGCACTGCGCCAACATCTCAGCTTCCCAAGCTGCGTTTCCTTTTCAATATTTTAGATAAGCATTGCAAAAAATTCTGCAGATATGTGAGTTTTTCACCAATAATTCAGAGTTACATTCCACAGAAAAATCCATGAATATGTGAATCTGTGAATATTAAACCATGACTGGGCGGGGACCACTGTCATGACATTTCTGTAGTGAGAAAAATATTATTTCCAGGCTATAAACCACAGTTTTTATCATATTTTGTCTGGTCCTGTGGCTCAGTCCTTCTATCCTTCTTTGCTCTTCAAAATTCTCACTGATGTGACGTATACTTCTGAGAAAATAAAATACGATATTGATTGAAATGATTCAGGACAATTGAAAATCTTCTCAAGATTTTTGGTTGTCTCTCTGTTTTTTCTAAACAGAGACCACACCGTTTAGAAAAATGACAAAACACCAAGAGCTCCATGTCAGAGTCTACACCGGTCGGTGAGGCTCATTACAGAGTCTGTTTGGAGAAAACCTCTCAAAAACACAACGACTTTATGAAGCTTCTTTCGGCTGAATCAGAAGTTGTTTGGGAAATGACCAATTTGAGATGTTTTGGCCATGATGCATTGCACCATACTTGTAGAAAACCAAACAACTCATCCGCGGAAAGATCTCACGCCAACCGTCAAAGTCTTGGGTGCGTTTTGGTTTAGGCTTTGTCTGACATTCAGATGTGTAGGAACCGTCGCTAAGCTTCGTCTCCTGTTGCCAGGTCTCCCGGCGCCCGTCACCCCTTGCAGCCTGGCATCTGCCGCCTCTTCCCCGGCCGCCGGAACGGAGCTGAGCCGGCCCCACCCGTCGGCGGTGCCTGCCCCGATGATGACGGAGACCAAGTGACGGCAGGTCCCGCGGGGCACCAGCTGGGAGGCCACGGCGCTGTGAGAACGAGAGTCTAAGGTTCCAACAACAACGTAGAAAAGGAAACGTGAACGGGACGAGCAAAGAAGAGCGCGGCCGTACTCTTCACCGTCCTTCCCGCTCTTGGATGCGTTCTCTTGGATGTGCCGCCCAACTGGTTCCCCGCCCTGCTCCAACGAGAGCAGAGGACTCCATTACCCACAAAACCCTTACGACGATTGACGCCGCCATCGCCATACGTTACGGCCGCCAGGATAGCTTGCAGGATTCTTCTCGTAGCATCAAAGCATCCACTGACTCACAGAGCAAGTCTGCATGGTCGGCTGCTCTGTGCTTACGCAGCAACTTATGGAATCTGAGCTGTCCTGTTTCGGTTTATTCCGATTTTTTTTTCTTTTCTTTTCAGTTTTTGACTGTTGGCAACTGGATTGTTTGGTTCTTCTTTCTTCCTGTTCATTTTGAAGGCGGCATGTGTAACTTTCAGAGCGTCGCCACTTTGGTGTGATTACTGTAAATAAGCCATAGCTGAGATCACCGACGAGGAGTCAGCCCCTTCACTGCTGTTGTTCTGTAGGCATTCCTCTCGATGACGCCCCGTTTCCCATAATTCCGCTGTCTCATATCACCTTCACCGCATTCTGTGTTTTGAATATCGCTCCAAAACACAGTCTTCTGTGCAGCGAGCCCTCTGGGTTTGCACAGACTCCACCGATGCTGATACGATTGGGTGAAAGTCTCATGAAAGCTCCTCAGCCGCTTGTTTTCAACGTTCCTGCTTGCAGAAGTGCTTTAAAAGAACCACGTGACTGTTTGGAGAAGTGGAGACATGCGCTTTATCTTTTTTGCACAGGGAAAGGTCAGACATGTTGTCTCTGGCCAATTAGCTGCCACGCACACAGATTTATCAGACGGAAGAAGAAGAGAAAAAAAAAGATTGTAAACCTAGAAACAAAAACGGATGTCTTGCAATGGTTAATTGTGTGAAGTTATTGAATTCGTTGGATGACTTAATTTTTTTTTTGTCTTTTTGTAACAATCACCCTTTAAGGGAGACGCACACAGAAGAAGCTGCGGACCGCAGAGAATGACGAATCTATTTTGACCTGAGAACTGCTGAATGAGTAGGAGAGCCGCCAGCAGTGCAAGGATGTATTCACACCCTTTGAGCTTTTTAGTCACATTACAACATGTCATGATGCTGCCACCACCGTATTTCACCTGTCATTATCTCATGTTAGTGGGGGTTCCCAGACGTTTCTCTGACCTGCCTCCCCAGATCCCTGACCGGCCCGTCAGCCCCCTAACAAGCCAACCAGCAGTGCTACTACCAATAAAGTTTATTTCACTAATCAATAATTATTACATAAATGCTAACCTCATACATTCTGATTTTTCTTGTCAAAACATTCATTCTGCACTCACTATGTTAGGTTTAGGGGCAAAATTTATAGCTTGATCAATTTGAGTGGCAGCCAAATAAGAGCTAAATAAATTACTTTAACCTATATTTTATTGTAATGATTAAAAAAAGGAGTGGATTTTTTGATTTTTAAAAAATGATTAAAAAATTTTTTTCTGCCCTTTTCATCTTCCCTCCATGGTTCTGAGGCCCCCTAGTGGCCTCGGAAAATATACGTCGAACTTTGTGCTGTTAATTTGGTAAAGCATGCAAAAGTTCAAGGGATGTGAATACTGTTTCTTTTTTTTAAGTCTGGGGTGCAGGATGGGTGGGTGACCGTCAGGACGCCGTCCGCCCTGCTGTTTGTTCCCCTCTCTGACGAAGCCATGATCTCACCTGCCGGTTCTTCAAGCTGTCCTCAGGGAAACCTGCAGCTGCACTGTGAGCTGGCTATCTCCAGCTTCCTGTTGGCTTTTTTTTTCTTTTCCCCCTCTTTTGTTCACAGGAAGCGTTCTGGGCGTGGCTGCGGTTCACGATCCGATGTTAGAGATCGGAGCTCGGCTCTCATCCCGTCGCATTAAAGACGTGTGACATGAACTTTGAGGATAAAGACAAAACTGGTCCTTTCTGTTGCAGACTTCTTGAAACTTACCTGATTAGATATAAGCTGAGTTTTGTTCTTTGTTTTTTTTTATATTAGCTTTATGGATTTGCTAGCTGAGCTTCTTTCCTGTAAGTTTTTTGTGTTTAATCGTCGTTTTCTCCATTTTTTCTTCTTCTTGTTTTAAGTAGCCTGATTTAAACAAGCCAACTGATAATATTCTTTGTTTATTATTATTATCATTTTTTTAAAGACATCATTTAAAACCAGAACTGTTCACTGCCAGGTGCTCCCTCTCACACACATATCAGATTGTCAAGTTCTTGTTAAATGCAATTTTTTTTTCTTATCCCTTTATTGTGAAATGTAGCCAAAGACTTGTTGGTTTTTTTTTTTTTTTTTTTTTTGACTAAATTGATTCATGTTGAAGCGGTTAAAACAGAGTTGAAGCATTTCGGAACACAAGCTAAAACTAAAGGGCTGATCTCCATCTGCAAACTAATGTAGAAACCTGCGGAGCTTTGATCCTTTCTCTGGCCGTGCGTCTTTATTATCTTCAGTCTTGCTGCTAAAAGAAGAGGGCGTCTCGGTGAAGGCTGGCGATGTTAGCACATCTGGATCTGAGGGGTTGGCAGTAAACCAAAACCCAATTTGCCACATCGTTTGGTGCGTTAGGAATCACCTGAGGTTGACTTAAAGGGACCGCAACGAGACATCTCTCAGTCTGGACACCGGTCGCAGAAATGCAGTTTTTTTTTTATTATTTGCGGCGTGGTTTGATCTATTTCTGTTTCCTTGCTTTGCTGAAGTGTTCTTTATTTTTTTCTGTCAGTGCTAAAACTCTATTATTGGTCACTTCGACTGTAGCTTCACAGGGAGTGTTGGCTGGTGGGATGCATGTTGGTGAAGAATCGCTGGGTTTCCATAGCAGGAAACGGTTTGACGGCCTGCAGGATTTCAGTGGTTATTTTTGCAAATATATACCAAATCTAATTTTTCACGATACAGTTATGATTTTTGTTGTTGTTTTTCAGTAACGTTCTGTTAAAGGGTAACACACGACCTTTACGTTGCAAGATATTTTAATATTTTAACGCGTTTGTTTTTTGATGAGGTGTTAGCTGGGAAGTAAGAAAAGTTCAAACATTTATTAAATATTACACACATGAATCGCTTTGAGGTTTTTCACATTGGAGCGTTTTTAATACCGTCAAATTGCGCTTTGATCATTTCCTATCTCAGACTAGCTTATTTGCATACTGTATAAATACCTGAAGAAAGATATCTAATTCAGTTAAATTATTAACTGCTTGCCATATTTTAACAGAAAATTGTAAGTTATGCTTTTGAAAGCTAAGAATAGTGTAAAATGATTCCAGAAGCATTTTAATGGCATTAAAACATAATTATTCTGGTTATAATGTCCATAAATAATGTTCTAAATGTTGATACTTTATGTTAAATTGATCTGTAATTTAGAAAATATGCCTTCCACTCAAATGATTTTAAACAAAAGGCCACCATAACTCATTCACTCACACACGTTTAATTCGCTGCATCACTTCAACACAATTATGCAACATGCCTCCAATAATGTGACATTTATGTCTCAAACAGCTGAATTGCTTCAAGCCGTTTCCAATGCAACACGTCTCCACTCAGAAATGAAGGAGGTGATCAGACATGGCCGTGTCCGGTGGGTTCTTAAAAAGAAAATCAATCTGAAAAAAATGATTCCCTTTTTTTTTTTTTTTGCCCCTCAGTGATATCTTGTTCCATTTTTCCATAGAGAAACCCGAAAAATCCCTTTGTTGTGTGTTTCCACGTAACCGAGTGGAACTTCTAAGGGCTTTAGTCAAATGATCACCTTAATCTGATTAATTGCTGTGACAGTATATGTTGCAGTTGATTGCTATGCATTTGTTTGTTTTTTTTTTCTTTGTTTTAAACTGTAATATGTTTTCTCTACTTGTTCTTAAATGCAGGAACAGAAAATGCAGAGATTAGCAGCTCTGGTGGGAAGTACAAAACAGATTCCCCGTTACGTGTTTCACCTTTTCAAACATTTGCCTTTTAAAATAAAATAGAATATTAATTCCTCACCATTTGCTTCTAAATAAGGTCGATTTTGTTTAGATAAACTGTAACTCCCTGACACGGGGATGTTAACAAAGCCACCAATTTATGGTTTTTGTTCATCTGACATTAAACGTGACGTCCAGGATGTCGACCATCAGCTAAGAGGCAAACAGAGGATCAGTTTCAATGTCTGCTGTGTTTTTTTTTTAAAAACAACATCTGAATGAATCTTTTTTTATATATTAATCATGCTACTGTAAATAGATTGTGAATATAAATGATCTTTTTGGAGATATTTATGGACTCTGTGGTTGAAGAGTTTGTGGATGGATGAGGGAAGCTGATTGTATCGTCTGTGGAATGTTCAATGTAAAAACGACAAAAACAAGGAGAGAAAAAAAAAGCTAAAACTCCCCTTTACTTCCCTGTAAGTTTTCAGAAACACCGTCAGCCGAACAGAAATGGCATCACTCACAGAACTCAGGCCTCTGATTTTTTATTTATTTTTTTTTATTTGCCATTCATTCTAAAGGAAGAAATCTAAAGCTGTGATCGACTCAGAAACACACTGTTATGGACTGTTTTGAAAACACTCTCCTTTTTATCTTATTTATTTAAATTTTTTTTTTTTTTTTACTTAAGATGCCGCAGAAGTGCACCACACACACACACACACACACACACACACACACACACTCAAACAAAACATAGAAACATAAGCATGTTGGGGAGAAACAGTGCTTCAAGAATTCAATCTCACATTGAGTGTTTGCATTATCTTATATGCCCTTGTTACGGTGTTACTATCTCTGTATTGTGTAAAGATATACACAGTTTGATATGCATGAGCCTCCGATAGCAGAGGAAGAGTTTCAGTCCTATGATCAGGCAGTGTTCAGGAGTTTTTTACCGACTAACTCATAAATATATCAAACTAGAGCTTAGTCAAAAAAAGCGACTAAAAATGGTACACATTTATATTCTCTCTGATGCCCCTCAATAAAATAACCTAAGTAGTTAAACAGGTTTTGCGTCCGCTTCAGCATTCTGAATGTTTTTCTGTTGGTCTACGTCATCAGGCTTCAATAATAAACTTGAAGGCTGGTTGTAACATGTAAAACGTTCATGACTCAATCTGAAAGCAGCAGCTTGTCTAGAATAAGGCCTGGTTTCATCAGCCTGGTTCTGTCTACAGACTGATACCAATCATCAATACCATTGGTATTGATGAAGGTACACAGTGCTCTGCCTCAGTAGCTGCGCTTCCGTTGGCCGTATAGTTGCGCACTTTGATATTTCGAAAAAAAATTCGCGTGATGGAAATACACCAATTTAGACAGCAAAACTGAAAAAGGTTTTTGCTGTAGGATGAGGTCGTTTTTCAGTGTCAAAATGGGTGTATTTCACTGAAACTGCAATGGAAACTTTTCTTTAGCACATGATCAACACATGATCAACAAGCGGATGTCACTGCTGGAGGCAAAGACAAAGAAGACGACAGGAAGTGGCAGGAAGACGATGGTGTGGCATGCTTTTTCATGACTTATTCACGTGTTATTTTATTTGTAACTTAACATAAAACACCGCAATTGCAAAAATTTTCAACAGCGGAATATTAACAAAGTTTTGCGCACATTTTTAATGGAAACACAGCTACTGAGGGTCCCTCTAGCTGTGTAGTCATTTTACCTTTTAACACGCACGGTTTCTTCTTTTTCTTTGCTCAGGAAGTGGCTAAAAACAAGCATTTTTCAGTCATTCGGCTAGCTTAGCAAGCTAGCATTGGAAATTTAGAAAAATTAGCATGTGTTAGTGTGTTGCAGTTCACTCCGTAGCATTAGCATTCACTTCCATTTAGCCTTGTTTTTATAGAAAGAAATAAAGACTAAGTGTTGACTCACGTGGTTGAACAGAATTATAAATGTGGAAATGGTGCACCGTTAATAATTTTCCCACATGAAACACCAACTGAGAAGCGAACATGTAACTTTTCCACTCGGAGCAAACGCCCGGTTCATAAAACAGCACTGCTGCATTTTGGAGATGGTAATTGTTTTGTCCACTTTTAGGCTAGTTGTTAGCCTAAAACAGCTAACTTATTCCTGATAAGGTTTCCACAGATTTTCACTTTGCAAATTCCGAATGATCCCTTCAACAGTTCCGTTGTCAGTCAGGCGGCATGCGATGAAAGCCCTGCTGGCTGTAGGAGCTCTGTCCTTGAGAAGAGTTTGGACTGAAACTCTCTCTGTGCTGTCAGCGGGGGCCCTGTGTCTCTCTGTGATTGTCCTTGTCCAGAGCCGGCTCAGCTAGCTAGCCGGCCATATTTACTCTCTGCATGTGACCACAACAAACCCCCATCTTGTGCACCATTGTCGCGTTGACGACACCGGAGCGGGAAGACGATGATGATGATGATGACTTTTTGTTGATGGGGCTTGTGTTTGAGATGCCTTCGACAATCATGTTCACATATCAGACCCACCATGACGACACAGGCTGGAGAAACTGATTCTGTTTGTTATTCTGGAATAAAACCTGAATGACTGCATGCTGACCACTGTCTGTGTTTGTATGGACGTAAGATAGTGTGACTATAGAGCAGTCCCACTCTGTAGTCTTCATTTACAAAAAGGGCAAAAAATCCAGTCTCAATGTGCAAAAGTGGTCGATGCAGTCGAACCCAGATATAAACATAAACGGGCTAAAAAAGACACAAACGTTTTTTTTTTCTTACTGTTTTAAGTCAAATCTGACCGAGCCTTTCTTGACTTAGCTTTAGTCGGAATTGCCAAAATTATTTCTATTTGATAAAAAGCCAGAAAACGTGGTGATGAAAACGTTTTTTGGAATTCTTTTTTTGTAACTTTCCTCGAATTCAAAAGCTGAACCCATCAAGGTCTTCTGTTCTGCACAGCGTTGGTCAAATCGCGAGCTGCGCTCAGTTCACGTAAATATCTGGTCTCAACAGGCACAAACCAGCCAGAGAAACACGACGAGCTTGTTCCTAATAGACTTTTGTTTATTTGGAAAAGGGTCAAAACTGTAGCAAGAATAAGTGGGGGGTCAAAACAGAGGTCAACAGAGCAGACGTCAACTCAGGCAGGAACACAGAGAACTTGGGCACAAAGCGATCAACACAAAAACGCTTCATTCATCTCAAATGAGATAAAGGGTTAGGGTTATGGTAATATATAAACCATAACTCTCCATCCATTATGGTTTTTATAGTACACACAAATCTGGAATATCCAGTCATATCAATGTATTTTAAGAAAATGGTGATGGTTAGATAATGCTACGTCCTCAGGAGGCTAGCGGTCAGCAGTTGGTGCCTAAACTTCATTTGAGGGTAACAATTTTCTTTCTCATCACAATTTCAAAAAAATTATTTAAAATTTTGTATTTGATTTTTTTAACTGCCTAAAATCACTTTGCTTTCACACATAATGCGACATGCGAAAGTATTTGTATCCCTTCAACTCTTCACACGACACAATCACAAACTTCGTTGTTTTCATTTAAATGGAAGTAAAGCTGAATTATTAAGTGGAATGAAAGTGACAAACCGTCCCAGAATATCAACATAAAATACTGCCACGGATTCTGGAATGAATTATTTTTGCAGTGATTAGGGGAGACAAAATAATAGTAATAATGATAATTGATTTGTATTTTCTTATATCAAAAGCAGAGGGGTGGAAACACACACACCCACACGTTCAAACCACAAAGCTCATGAATTACAAGCAGAGAAAAAGAAGAGGACTAAACCAAAGTGCTTCTATGTCGTTTAGGCCTAAGTAAATAGACAACGTCCAACGCAAGGGAACAGAAGGACATACAGTTAGGGCCAGAAATATTTGGACAGTAACACAATATTTGTGAGTTGGGCTCTGCATGCCACCGCATTGGATTTGAAATGAAACCTCTACAACAGAATTCAAGTGCAGATTGTAACGTTTAATTTAAAGGGTTGAACAAAAATATGTGATAGAAAATGTAGGAATTGTACACATTTGTTTACAAACACTCCACATTTTAGGAGCTCAAAAGTAATTGGACATATAAACATAACCCAAACAAAAAGTTTTTTCTCAATATTTTGTTGCGAATCCTTTGGAAGCAATCACTGCCTTAAGTCTGGAACCCATGGACATCACCAAACGCTGGGTTTCCTCCTTCTTAATGCTTTGCCAGGCCTTTACAGCCGCAGCCTTCAGGTCTTGCTTGTTAGTAGGTCTTTCCGTCTGAAGTCTGGATTTGAGCAAGTGAAATGCATGCTCAATTGGGTTAAGATCTGGTGATTGACTTGGCCATTGCAGAATATTCCACCTTTTTGCTCTCATGAACTCCTGGGTAGCTTTGGCTGTATGCTTGGGGTCCATCTCTGTACTGTGAAGCGCCGTCCGATCAACTTTGCAGCATTTGGCTGAATCTGGGCTGACAGTATATCCCGGTACACTTCATAATTCATCCGGCTACTCTTGTCTGCTGTTATGTCATCAATAAACACAAGTCACCCAGTGCCATTGAAAGCCATGCATGCCCATGCCATCACGTTGCCTCCACCATGTTTTACAGAGGATGTGGTGTGCCTTGGATCATGTGCCGTTCCCTTTCTTCTCCAAACTTTTTTCTTCCCATCATTCTGGTACAGGTTGATCTTTGTCTCATCTGTCCATATACTTTTCCAGAACTGGGCTGGCTTCTTGAGGTGATTTTGGGCAAAATTTAACTCTGGCCTGTCTACTTTTGGAATTGATGAATGGTTTGCATCTACATGTGAACCCTTTGTATTTGCTTTCATGGAGTCTTCTCTTTACTGTTGACTTAGAGACAGATACACCTACTTCTCTGAGAGTGTTCTGGACCTCAGTTGATGTTGTGAACGGGTCCTTCTTCACCAAAGAAAGTATGCGGCGATCATCCACCACTGTTGTCTTCCGTGGACGCCCAGGCCTTTTTGAGTTCCCAAGCTCACCAGTCAATTCCTTTTTCCTCATAATGTACCAGACTGTTGATTTTGCTACTCCAAGCATGTCTGCTATCTCTCTGATTGATTTTTTCCTTTTTTCAGCCTCAGGATGTTCTGCTTCACCTCAATTGAGAGCTCCTTTGACCGCATGTTGTCTGGTCACAGCAACAGCTTCCAAATGCAAAACCACACACCTGGAAACAACCCCAGACCTTTTAACTACTTACTTGATTACAGGTTAACGAGGGAAAGGCCTTTTGAGTTACTTGCAGCCTTTGGAGTCCATTGTCCAATTACTTTTGGTCCCTTGAAAAAGAGGAGGCTCTGCATTACAGAGCTATGATTCCTAAACCCTTTCTCCGATTTGGATGTGGAAACTCTCATATTGCAGCTGGGAGTGTGCACTTTCAGCCCATATTATATATAAATTGTATTTCTGAACATATTTTTGTCAACAGCTAAAATAACAAAACCTGTGTCACTGTCCAAATATTTCTGGCCCTAACTGTATTTGTTGCATCCTGTTCCAGCGTTTGTGCTGCTTGGTGCTGATGTCAGGCACACGGCTCTAATTGCTTGGAGCTGCTGGACGCCCCTGATAGCTCTGCACAGATTCTTCCCTCTTTCTTTCCTCATCTTTAATTCAGCAGTTCAGCCACTTTTGTCCCACTTATCTGTAACTTGTCCTCTCAGATTTCAGCCTTCCTGCCGCTTAAGACTCAACCCGCGCTTTAACACATACACTGCAGCTCCTGAAAGACTAATTACAAGCCGATATCTGAAGCGGCGAGATAACGCGCGCGCCCTGCAGCAGTCAGAGCAGAGATCTTGACGTGTTTTGGAGCTTTTTGCTGCATTCAGAGATCAACCGTGTCAGCAGGACTGGCATCCAGACACCAGAGTGTCTCTTCTCATCAGTTTAGGGGACAAACAGATGCTGCTTTCAATCCCCTTACTGATGCTGGAAGCCACTGGGGGAATAATCATCTTTTGTAGGAATGTGTCCTTTCCGTACACTCTTCAGATCAGCAGTTCCTTTCCGCTTGTCAGGCTTTCTCGCTTTCTTAATTTAAAACAAACCAAAAAAATCGACGTGCTAAATTCCTTTCACATTTGCATCACACAACTAACTCTTCTGTCTTTAGCGTGTTGCTGTATGACAATCTTTTCACTGTCATGGCATCCCTGCAGCTCACTTTCCTGAATGACATCATCAGTTGTTGGCAAGCCCTGCTAATCCACCTCACTTGCGTTTGCTGCATCCTCTTCAGATCTCCAGTTTGGGTCGCGCCGTCCGAAATGTTAGCGACGCTTCTGTGAAATGGCTAAAAAAAAAGCACAAAAACATTTTGTGCAAAGTGAAAAAGAATGTTTTGATGGGCCATCGGGGTCTGCCTCCCGCTGAGCTTCAGTTAACAGTTTTAACGTCATTATGAAAGATCTGCTTTCCCGTCTAAATCAGAGGAATATCTCAGAGACACCATGCTGTTCAGAAAACCACATAAAAACATTCCACTCACTTGACGGACTAGACACACACACACACACACACACACTCATAATTTTCTTTCTACATTCATTCACTTATACTTAATGCGACCTCTCTTGTGTGCGTGCCTCATTAGTTTTTCAGGATCCCGTTGACCCAGATTTTGGTCATGTTTAAAATATCATATTTGAACATGTTCAAAGCAGTTCTTATCCGTATGAAATCGCATGTTGTTTTTCACCTTTACATGGCATTTATGTCTGGTAGTTTAGCTAAAAAACAAAGAAGTCTCCAAAAGTTGACATGTTGTTCAATAGGCAGCATTGTGTTTAAAAAAGCATCTATTTTTATATACTTTTAGTCAAAGTTATACCACCACCAAAAACTTGGTTCGTTTGAGAGATCCTTCAATCTCCTACGGCAACCACTCAATCCATTTTTGATATTTGAAGCAAGCTGCTTCATTTATAGGACAACTTTTACTGCAAGAGTCACAAAAACATTCCTGTGAGACAATTCATCGAGTCATTTTAAAAGCGAGAGTAAACCTGCTAGAAATGATTTACTGATCTTTAGCAAACTTAGCATGGAAACATCAGCAACAGGAGCGAGATATGAGTTGATTGCAGGCTGCAGCTGTATGTGTCGGGTCAGCACGTCCTGCATGATGTCAGGGCTCATGTTCCAGGTGACATGTTGTCAGAACGCAGCTGGGTTTTGACGTCACACTGGAAGCAGACGAGAAGTCAGGATTTCAACACGCTTGCTGCTGTCGACCCGAGAAGCGGCCATTTTGACCCGAGAAGTCGGGACTTAAAGATCCTGTCTGTTAGTTGGAGCTTCTCCCACATTGAGTTCAGGAAGAGTTTCAGCTGATTTATTCCACCCGGGAAGTTGTAATTTCCAACAGCAAATGGAATGCGACACAACTTCCTGTCCACTATCTTGGAAGACAAAGACAACAAAGAAGCATCACAATGCAATGCAATTAGCAATCAGAGACAAAGAGATGAAGAGAAGCATTTTTTTTCTTTATATTTGTGAGTCATGATCACAGATTCAATCAAGATAATAATTTCTATTTGGCATCATCAGGAAGCACAGCCTCTATGATCACAGATTGCATTGAGTCGTGAAGTTTGAAGTTTGTTTACAAGAAAACGATATGGATGAATACTGTAATATTTGGAGTATTCATTCATAAAAGGTATTTGTCCCTGAAAGACTGTCCAGCAGTCTCTCCGTCTCCATTTAGAAGATCATAAAAAAAAAATTAAAGCTGCATCCTCTCCCGTATCGCTGCACTTGTGAAGGCCCCGAGTGACGGCTCCTCCTGCGTCACTGCATTGAGGTGACGCCCCGCCCGCCTCTCCGCTGCCCTCAGTTTCTCCTGCAGCTCCCGGGCCTCCTGCGCTGCCTTGCGTGCGGCCTTGCGGGCGTTCCTCAAGGAGCGCTTCACCTTGCCAACGCGCTCCTTCAGCTGCCGGTTCCTCCTCTCGGCGGCGGCCAGGCGCTCCTGCAGCGTCCGGCCGCGCTCCTCCTCCTCGAACAGGGCCAGCTGCACCGAGGAGCACAGCAGCTGGAGCGAGAAGAGAGGAAAACAGGGTGGTGCTTTTTGTGTTTTCGAGCAAAAAAAAAAAAACCCAAACTGCTGCAACTAACAGCTGACACAACATCAGGTTCTGCTTTGTGAGTAGGAAATAGGAACTTGGGCTCCTATTATTTATCTACACATGAAACCTGTTCCCAGTTCTGCTCTATAAAAACTTCTTAGAGAGTTTTTAGAGTATATCTGCTTGTTAGACTAACAATCACATCCTTTCCTTGGATTTTCATCTCAATGGGTAAAATCTGCCTTCACCCTGGTTGACAACCTCTTTAGACCCTTCAAATCCTACTTCAAATGAGTATTAACGGCTCCACCAGTGAGACATGATGCACAATGCAGAGCTCACACAAATGGAACAACATCTTAACAATATAGTTGGGGAGCAATATGTTTTTTTCAAAAGAAAACAACCTCGTACCAACAACCTTCATCTCTTTAGACCCCCTGCCTCGACTTCAGCTCTATGATGAAGATGTAATCAGCCTCCTTCAGCGTCAGAAGACCAAGAAAGCTTCCTTGTCCAAGTCCCTCACCATCCTCAACAACAACGTGTCTGGTTCCTAGGAACAACCCATGATGCTGCCGCCACCTTGTTCCAACCCTTGCTTGGGGTCTCTGACGGTCCTAAAGGTCCAGGGTGAGGAAGAGGGCAGCTAACATATCTGCTGACCCCACACATCCTGGACACAAACTGTGTGGACTTTTACTTTCAGTTCGGTGATATGATAGTCCGGTGAAAACCAGCTCCTTGTTCTTAGTTTTGCTTCGTTTAAAGGACCCTCAACCAGTGAGAATCGATTGCTTGATCTGTTGACGTTTTAAATGATTGGTGCCCCGCCGCTAATGTTTAGTCGTGATGAATGTAAAGAGCCGGCTTGGTGACGCTCACTGGGAATCGTGTACGCTACAAACAACCGTCCCCCACTGCCGAGAGACGAGTCTCGAGCTGGACGACATCTTTGTCGGTGACAAAATGTCTTAAACATTCCCTTTGTTCCGACTTTAACTGCTCATTATTTGGAAGGGCTCCCAACATAAACTGAATTTTCCTCTGCTGCCGTCGCCAAAATACAACCATAGGCAGAGTTGAATTCTAAAACGGAGTATTGCGTATTTACAGAGGAAATGGAAGGCAACGGCCAAGCTGGCGATGAAGCACCATTTGGAAAAAATAAGCTGAACATCAACACCATGAATCCCCCTATTTGTGTTTATTTATATCTCAAATGTCTCCAACAACAGCAACATAGAATATAAGTCAAAGTCTCTGTCTCTGTGGACAAACGTGGCGAATGAATTCGCCACACGCCAATCAGGAGATTCTGATTCAATTTCCTAGAATTTACTTATTTGTGATCACTAGTTCTGAACTAACACCAGTCATCCGCTGGTCACTGCCTGTGTGTGAACCAGTGATAACCAAACACCATTTGGTTTTGAGATAATATTTTGTAAGCTTCATGGAATTTCATCTGAACTTTGTTTTCATTGTTATAATCTTCTTGGATCTGAGATCAGAGCAGTGCAGAATCTTCAAGGTCTTCCGCTATCGGTAGGTCTGTTGCAATTAGCAACATGCCTGAAACAACATACACACACACACACACACACACTATTGTATCACATTCCCATGACTTAATGTGTGCAGATGCATGCCTGTCCACAGTCTTAGCATATGGCCAATCAGATTGCATCCTGTCTGCACAAGAAGATAAATATGTAATGTACTCTAATTACTTTGCTGTTTCTGTTGTGTTCACAGTGGTGTTGAACGTTACATGTGGTCAAAAATAAATTAGGCATTGTCTGATGTATCAGAAAAAGCCAATGTCTTGTGAAAACTGAGTCCAGCTTTCTATCTTGGGTTTTTAACAGCAGAACTTTTCACAAATCATAAAGAATCAACGGAATCAACGGCAGGATGTTGTCTTCATTCGTCTTTTCCTGGTGTGAGGTGACCAACGTGTTTCCATAGCAGTTTTGCGAAATACACAAATTCTGATATGGCTGAAAAGGAAGAAGAACTGAAAACAAAAAACAATTTCAGAAGGGCACTTTGTTTGTCCAAAGACAAAGTGCAGGTGTTTTGGCGTCGATAGCATGTATCTGTGCAGGCGCCTCGCTGCTCTGAAATGGAACGCATGCACAATGTTTATATGCACACGTGATTTCAAAACTGAGGTACATGCTGAGCTGGGATCTGCTCGTGTCAAGGTGCTCAGTGTGATACCTTCAGAACACACACACACACACACGCACGCACACGCACACACACACGCACACACACACACGCACACACACACACCATCTGTGAAAACATCCGTGTGTTACCCTCCTGCTGCTGGGTATCATCTGCATAAACACTCTTCAGAGAACATGGAAAGACACACTTCAGCACTACTTATCTTCAGGTTCATGTTAAGTAAGTACTTTTCCCAAATTAATTTAGAAAGACAAAAAAAAAATAGCGTTTCAAATTGCTTTCTATGGGCTAACATCATGATTTATAAATGCTTATAGAAATTTGTTGTTAGGAGTCACATTAACTACTGCTTGACTACTCAAACTGGGTATTTCAATCAGTTTGACAGCTGATTGATTGATGATTTACTAAATCATAAATTGGCCTATCATTCAGAACTTCTCATTTCGAGCACAACTTGTGTTCACTCCATCACTAAGCTTCATTAAAAAAAAACTTCTTTCAGTCGTATCACGCCAATGACTCGAAAGTAAAATGAATTAAGCTCATGGAAAAACTATGCAAGTGCTCCGTCTGTGCCGATGAAGATTCCCTCACATGTTGATGCCAGGTGCCTGAAACTGAAGGTGAAACTGACATCGTGACCTAATTTCTGATTAACTCGGCTTGTTGGGGAGGGAGAGACTCAGGAATGGAATCCCATTTCCCGGTGGTTAGCTGATTCTTAAGAAGAAACAAAAGGTTTTACTTGTTTTAAAAGGTAAAACAACAATTAATTTTACGCTATTGATCCCAATGTGCACACACTAATCGACCAGGATTACATTAAATGGTCACTAACTTCCAGCTCCAGCTGGTCACACATTCACACTCTGGAGGTGATAAACATTGTGGCAGCAGCTTAAATGTTTACTATGACGTCATCAACAAAGACTGTGATGTTTTCTGTTGGTCCTGAATGACCTGTGCACCAAATCAGCTGGGCGTTCACAAGATGCTTGGTGATGTGCGCCTTTGTTCTGCTTTGAAGAAGGTCATAGGTCAGGGGTTGGAGGCTGTGCTCATTCTGAGGATGAGTCTTCACATGTAGAGACCATAACCCAAAGGCAAGGCAAGACCCAACAGCTGCTCTGCTTTAGGGATGTGGAGGAAAGCCAGATAAAAAAAGAGGCTTTTTTTCTTTTTTTCTTTTTTTGTTTTTGTTCAATTCTTGATGAAACAGTTCAAGATTTCAAGATCTCACACTTACGTACTTGATGTTACCATGATCGCAAGTGTTTCGATGCTTCGACATCTTCGTCGACTGTGGTTGAAAAACAAAAGAATCCCACTAAGCTGAGAGCGGGGGGGGGGGTTAGCTGGTCGTTTCAGGTACGTGGGAACCAGATGGACAGAGGATTCTTCCTCCGCAACGCTTTCCTGCCAAGCCTTTAATTAACTTTTGGTCAAAGCCTCGTCTTATCAGGAGCAGTCAGATCCACTTTTTCGTGTTTTGTTTCTCTCTCTCCGTTTTACAGCCGTGGTAACAGCAGCACAGCGTTAAACTGCATAAATGTTCCTTTAAAGGAGCGTTAATAGTTTATTGTCAGGGAAAACTCGGGCTCTAACAGCCATGTTCGCGCCTTTAAGACTCGTCAGTCTCACATTAACATTTTATGAGAATGCTCAGAGGGCCGCCTGTTTCTCTCAGTAGTGAAACACTGAAGTTTGCAAAGTACTCAGCGAGAAAGTGTGTGTGTGTGTGTGTGTGTGTGTGTGTGTGTGTGTGTGTGTGTGTGTGTGTGTGTGTGTGTGTGTGTGTGTGTGTGTGTGTGTGTGTGTGTGTGTGTGTGTGATGGGGTAATGAAGGAAAGGAGTACAGAAGCAGAGCAGAAATGCCTCCCTGCTGATATGGATCTTTTTTTCCACTCATCCCTCTTTGTTCTTTGTTAGCGTTCTTCATCTCTGAATCCAAACACACACACACACGCACGCACGCACGCACACACACACACACACACACACAGACCAAATAACGTAGAAGAGAAGATCTTTTCTGAAGACTAAAGTGTGTGGGTCTGTGTTGGGTGGATATGAGTTCATAGGACACACTTGAGAACTGAAATGGAAAGTCTCAGTCTTTTATTGACGGTTGCCAGGGCGTTCAGCAGATCAACACGTCACCAGGGTTGGAATAATTTTCGATTTTTCATTATATTTTTTGGGCGACTTTTTGTTTGTCTCATTCAGTTAGTTGTAATTAGCTTCTGGCGGGCGTTTGCTGGTTTTTTTATTAGTTGTCATCAGTTAAACGTAGTTTAGTTTTCTTTAGTTACAGAAGCAATTTTAGTTTTTTTCATACTTTGGTTCATTTTTAGGCGCAGAAGAATTCAAAAGCAAAAGGGTATCATATCTTTAAACTAAGCATGTTTAATAATATAAAGAATATTATTCTTTCTCATGTATTTGCTGAGCGTTTTCCTGTTCTCCCTGTGCGTGCATTGGTTCTCTCCTGGTACTCCAGCTTCCTCTCGCAGTCCAAAACCATGACTATTGGATTATTTGGCCTCTTGAAATTGAAATGGATGCAAGTGTTCAATAATGGCTGGAAGAAGAGTAAAATAGCAGCTACTGTTTGACCTTTGATCTCCATGAGGCAGAGGTCTCTACTGCCCCAGGGAAGGACGACAGGATGAGCTTACCCATTTTGGATTTTAACATTTTTGACACGACAACCCCAAACTTTGTGCATTTTACTGTTGTTTTAAATCACAGAGCATGATGCTGCCGCCACCTTGTTTTACTGTGGGAGTGGCTGGTCGTGTTAAGAACAAACTAGAGTCAGACTGAAACTATTGATCAGGCCTGAAATCTGGGTGTAGTGATGAACTCTGAACTGAACATTCAGGGACACATAAAGACGGTTGCAAAGTCTTCCTTCTGGTTGTCCTCTAATCTCCAGGATTAGAGGACAAATGTCTCAGCCAGATCTAGAGAAACTCATCCATGTGTTTGTCTTTAGTGTCATTGATTACTGGAGCAGCGTCTTTCTGTCCAAGAAATCAATCAAACAGCTGCAGCTGATCCAGAATGCTGCTGCTCACATCCTCACTAAAACCAGGAAGATGGAGAACGTCATGAATGTTGTTGTTAGCTTAGCACCAAAACTCATTAAAGATCTGTTGTTGTTGTTGTTGTTGTTGTTGTTGTTGTATCAACCTTCCAGACCCCTCGGAGCTTCTGGTTCTACTCTACATCAGAACCAGAACCAAACTTGGAGAAGCAGCATTCAGCTTCTATGCATCACAAATCTGGAAAAAAAAACTTCCAGAAAACTGCCAACCCTCTGAAACACTGAATCTCTTTGAATCCAGACTTAAATCCCAGTTTAATGTTGCCTTTTGATCTTAATAACTTGACCAATGTATGTCTTTACGATTTTGATGACGGTATTTGACAAAATGCAACGTTTACCACGTCCTTTCATGATTTGTTTCTATAACTGGCTGCAAATTGCTGCTGAAATGTGCTGCACAAATCAACCGGACTTCTTACTTCCCCCCCACATGCATCATCCTGCATGGGGGCCAAAAGGTAGGGTGTTGCTACAGGTAAGTGTGGCTCTCCAGACACACAGCAGCTTACCCTGCTGTCCTCCTGGGTGTCCCACTCTGGGCTGAAGGTGCGGAACGGTTGGCTCCCTTGACTGCAGTTGGAAAACTGGAACAGGCTGGAGAAGGTGCGCCTGTTCTCCGCCGTGTCAGGGAAGACCGCGTCCTGGAAGTTCACCCCGTGAGGCAGGATGCTGTAGTTCTCATCCATCCTGAAGAGGAGGCAGACAGGACAAGAGCGAGAGGACGTTCAGAATCCCGCGGTTCTGATCTGAGGCGAGACGTGAACCATCGTCGCGCCGCACCTGAGGAAGAAGAAGTAGGAGTCATTTTCCATGACAGTGTGGGACTGGCAGGACAGGTAACCCAGCCCGGTCAGGTTGAGGCGAGATCCGGATGGCACCTCCAGCATGCTGCCCCAGGCCTGGTCGCACAGCAGCTCCACCTCCGCCGAGTACAGCAGCCCTTCCTCCGCGCTCAGGTAGCCGTAGTCGAAGGGCAGCGAGTTGTGCGCGTTGGCGGCTCCGAAGCCCGGCGGCTCCCGGTGGATCGCCAGGACCCGAGCGTACACGATGATCTCCGCCAGCTCCGCCCGGCAGCCCTCGCTGAGCGGCCGCCACTCGGAGGGCAACTGGCAGCCGTGCGTAAAAGTGTCCGAAGTGTCCAACCGCGCAAAAACGCACAGCGTCGTCAGGAGTAAAGTTGAGGAAATCATTCCGACAACTCTCGAGATCCAACTGCTGGTGTTTTTGCAGAGGTTTTAAACTGTAATTCCCCCCGAAACTGATTCTGTACCACAGGTATGTAAAGTTTTGCCTGTGGTTTGGTTTGGTTTGGTTTGGTTTGCTTTGCTTTGGCTCTGACCTGAGCGCTGGAGGATGCTGTCTGCAGTCATCGGGCGGCCTGCGCTCTGACATCAACATCTTTCAGTGTCGGAAACTTCAGGCACTCTGTGCTGCGTTCACTGACTGATGGACGCCTCAGGTATTCGGGCTTCCCATCTGCTCTGGTGGACATGTGAAGCAGAAAACATACATTTTATGGCAACAAATTATTGTTATTATAATTATTGTTATTATAATTATTAGTAATATTACTTCATATTATTAGTACTACTAGTACAATGCATCCATTTTTTTGTTTGTTTATTTCTATTGATAATATTTAAAATACTGATATTTAACGTAGGAATTATAATTACTTTATTATGCTAAAAAGAAGTCAACTTTAATATAACATAATATAAGGCTGTCATCATATTTTCTGCTTAAAGAACAAGAACTATGGAAATCATATCTACAAGAAATTTCCTGGTTCGCTCCAAGATGCTCATTTTGTGTGTTATTTTGCAATCTGGCAAGTATTGTGGCATCACAACCTATTGACATCGGAATTATAACAATCTTAGAGAACTACAATTAAATATAGTGAAAGTGTGAACAGTTCCTGACTGAATCTATCTGCACGTGTTTGTTAAATTTATACTGCCAAGTGTTTCGTCTCAAAATACACCAAAGAACACAAAACCTGCACCGCACTGCCATCTAGTGGACATTAGTGTGAAATGTGAAGGTCAGGATCTAAAATGAATCAGAATCACCTGGGTTCGGCGGCCTGTTAATAGCAAGAAAACCCGGCTGATTCAGCAATTGTTTTTACCGATGACGAGTCTGGAGGAATGTTTTCCGCAGCTCTTGGGCCGTGACTAAACTGTCTTTACTCATGACACGTTTGAAGTCAAGCTCCAGCACTGGATTTAAGTTCACCCTTTGACTAGGTCAATCGAAAACAGTCTATTTTCCTTGTGGAGTGAATCAGAGATTTTTTTCGAGCCACAGAATAATTTTCCTTGGGGTCTCGGGGAACACTAAGGTGCCTTTTCGGCTAAATGTAAAGTGTTTGTTGTTTTCTTTGTGTTTTTGACTTTTGGAAAGTCCCGTGGATGCTATTTTGCCCGATATTCATTTACTATTGAACTTTTCTGGATTCTCTTAGGATATTGAACTAAAAATTTGGTTATTTTTATTAAATTCACTAATAATAATAATAATAATAATAATAATAATAATAATAATAATAATATAATAATAATAATAATAATAATACTTTTGCATTCCATGAACTGCATTATATATACCAGCCAGATAAAACTTGAATACCCAATTTTTAATATTTATCGTTTGAAACAGGATATTATATTATTTTTTAATGATTAAGGGAAACCCCCACGGTGCCTCTTGCTAAGTTAAAGGTGACAAATGTTGGGATTTCCCGTTATCAGCTGGTGTCTTGCCACGTGACCTTCAAGTTAGAGTTTCGCTGATGTATATAACATGTTGATGGGCGTTCACCTGACGCTGAGTCGCTGTGGGAGGCGCTGTTCACTGTCAGATCTATTCTCTGGTCTTCAACGCCGTGTAAAGGAAACGGAAACCTCTGTGAAAAACCCAAGTCACCGTTCTCTGAAGTTGGCAGTGTTCACAATAATCTAAACAGGAAGTTCAGCTGCATAATTTCACAACAAATGCTTACGCAATTTTTCTTTTTTTTTTTTTTTGACGGATTAGCAAAAGTTACAAGATGGGGGAATCGAACCCACGTAGTCCTCTGAATAATGGGCGCTCGCTCTACTTCTCTACACCACGCAGCACCCCAAGTATTAGTTGTATTAGCATTTTTTTGTGAGTGCGAGTTTGGCATTTTATTTTGAAGGTCCCAAACGGAAACCACTACAATATCGTCGCTCAGGAAGGTGATTTACGGTTCCACCAACTAGACTCGGCAACAGAGGCTTGGTTGACTCATTTCGGCCCTTTTCCGAGTCCGTCCGTGTTGTCAGAACGAATAAGAACGAATAGCTGGGTTTGAGGTTCGGCTCGACAGCTGGGAAGCAGGTGAGTTAAAACCTTTAAACTCGTTTAGCTTTGTTGTGACGCAGTTTGGCTCTGCTCAAACCACACCGCGTGTTTTACTGAGGGCTTACTTTTTTCCGCCCCATTTGTTCTTTTTGGTGTTTAACTGAAAGTTGCCAACATGTTGGGCTGATCAAATCAAAGTGAAAGTAACACATCAATTCCCAGGAAGAGAAACTCAGACAAACATGGCGTTTATTAGAATTTGTATCCCCGCAGAGGGTTTATTTATGACTACAGTTTAAATATCGCTAGTTTGAAGTGGCTTTCATCCAGCTGGTGTTTTTACTGCGGCGTCATAAGGAAGTAATGCACAGACACTGATTGTTTACAGTGATGTAATTGGTTGAATACTCTACTAGGACGTGTTTATCGTTCGTTTGCGTCAAGCCAGTTGCCGATTATACCAGCCTTATTGTAAGAAATGTGTCTCGATCAGCTGATTCGGTCATCTGAGCTGAGTCACTTAATCAGGGCGACGATGTTTTACATTATCCGCTTTAAAAAAAAAAGCGCCGTTGTAAACTTATTATACCCCAACATTAATGTTTTAGTGCATCAGCAGCAGCACCGTCGTTAAACTAGTCTTACTTTGCACTCATGATGTGACATGTTTTCTACAGTTCGTTTAAAAAACAAGAAAAAAAAAAATCGGTTAGAGAAGAAATTGTTTTGGAAAATAATAAGCTGCGGCTTGATTATGTCGGTGTTCACAGCCTTAAACCGCATTCAGTCTTGTTTGATTGCTGCCTGCCTTAAATTAGAGAGGATCACATTCTTCATAGTTAAACCTGATTTAAAAAATTAAAAAAATTTGCCCATTTGCATCCAGATGCCCAAAGAATTGGCAATGGATCTACAAAGACCTCTACAAAGACAGAGGTCTTTGTAGAATGACCTCTGTCATTCTACAAAGGTATCAGGCAGGAGAAGGGCACACGCTTGTAAACAAAGCCAAAAACAAAGTGGATTTCTGCTGTATTGCAACAAAATCCACTTGATCTGATTTTCGTTTTTAAGATTTGTTTCGACTGTGTTTGCTTCAGCCTGTCTGAAAGTCAAAAAAAGAAAAAAAATACAGGGAAGATAATAAGTTGTGTATAATATTGGAGTGTTTGGGGGAAATTTTGAGCTTTGCCCACCAAACTAGTAGGTGTGTCTCAGGCAGAAAATTTTTGGGATACTTAGGACACCGTACTCACTGTACTGCAGATTTGTATCACTATTATAGTCGGTGTTGTTGTGACGTCTGACATTTTCATATTTGCACTGTACTTTAAATGTGATAGATAAGAATTTTCTAGATACAGTAAATGACAGTTGCTTCCGAGTGCTGTCCTTTCTTTTTTCTTCTAGAAGCAAATATATTATGCTTTTTTTCACATGGACTTTTTTCCTATTATTATTATTATTATTATTATTATTATTATTATTATTATTATTATTATTATTATACAGATTTAAAACATGCTGCTGAATTAAAATAACTAGCTGAACTAATCATTTAAAACTAAATATTAACATTTATTTTATTATTTATTATTGAGAAAATTGAAAAGCAGTCTTTTTTTCATTATGGATCATTTCTGACGTTAGGTCTAATTTTGCAGTGTAAGATGATGCAACTTTGAGCAAAAATACCACCATGGCTTCACAATATTCAGGTATCTACAAAAATATGATTCTTGTTCCTAATATATAATACAGAAAAGCAGCGTTTGTTTATTATTACTGCTGATAAAATAATATAACACCAAGGCTATTTCGGTAATAATAAAGTTAATGTCGATTAGTTGGACTATCTGCTCCGTTTTGTTAGTTTTTTTTTTTTCTTTTCAAACTTTAGAATAAATCTTTGTGTCATTCTGAACCAGTAATCAACACATAGTTGGTTAAAACAAATCCCATGTTTTCTTAGAATAGCACCGCTAATGTTAGCACCATGTTGCAGTAGCTCAGTTAAGCCAGTTCTGATTTGATCTTTTTGTAGAATTTTGTTAATATTTTTGGGGGTTTTATTAATTTCGCTTTTAGACGATTATTCCCTCTGCTTTTAGATGCTGTGTTGTTGTTGTCTTGTTTTTTTTTTTTTTTTTTTTTTCACTTTCAGACAGCTATGATGAGTGACCACAGTAACAAAGTATTATTTTTACAACTGAGAGTAGCTGATTAGCATCTAAAAAAAAACTCCATATAATTCTGCTTATGAATGTTTAGCTTTTACCATAATAAATAAAGGATTTTTGAACTAAGTTGAATAAATTGAATTTTTTTTTCCCAATTCAGAAGTCTTCATAAGGATTCCTAAATAAAAACATCTCAGTCACTTTTTTTAATGCATTCAAGATCCAGAGCTCGTCCCCATTGGAATAATATATCACAAGCTTACGCTTAACTTGTATTTTAATTGAAAGTATCAATAATCTTCTTTAGATGTATTGAGATGTTTGGTGTTGAAGTGACGTATCGTCGCTGATCTCTGGCTCCTTCCTGTTGGCAGCATGGCGTCAGGGGGCCCCATGGTGAACGGAGACGTCTCCCGCCCTCCGGGCCAGCCGGGCACGCTGGAGGAGACGGTGCAGCAGATGAACGTCCTGATCCAGGAGAACCGCGACCTGAAAGGTGAGACGTTTAATCGGCCTCATACGGGGCGGGTTTCACTGTGACTGAAACACAGCGACGCGACGGCTGAGATTTGGCGCTTCACATTCTGTCCACCAGAGGCGCTGCATCAGACCAACCTGACCATGAAGGAGCGCTTCGAGGGCCTGACGGTGTGGAAGGAGAAGCAGCGGCAGGAGAAGGACTTCCTGGAGAAGCGTCTGGAGGAGGCCCGCCGCTGCATAGAGACGCTGACCGTCCAGAACCAGGAGCTCAGCAAGAGGCCGGAGTTGGGGGGCGGAGCTCAGGTCAGCACCACAACCACGTGTTTCATCCTTCTGCCGGCTGCCTCCCACCTGAAGCCGCAGTCAGACTGTAGCGGGAGTCATGTTGTTGACGTGTGTCACGGTGTGGTCCAATCAGAGCGCGGAGGCCGACGCCCTGCGCGCCCAGGTGGCCCGCCTGCAGGCGGAGAAGAACGACCTGGTGGCCCTGAACTCTGAGCTGCAGCTGA